TTTTTCACAAATAGAGGTACGTGGATCAAGATGAGACAATGATGGATTTTTCCACAAAATTTCTTGTTTGGTTTCACAAACTTCTCCCCCTAATTTTGGGAAAAGTGTCTCATCGGATCGACAGTCTGCAAATCGTGCAGTAAATAAATCTCCCGTTAATGTTTCGAGGTAGCGAATAATGGAGGGCGATTCAAACCCAACATATATTCCTATCCTTTTTTTTGGAGACCCATTTTGGTGCGATATGTCGGTGCTACAGGCACATATATTGCACATCCAAAAAAATTTAAATGGGATATATTAGGTTCATGACCCAAAACTAGTTGCAACGGGGAATATTTATGATCATTTGTCGGTCTGAGACGAACTAGCATTGATGCATGCAAAATGGCGTGACCCCAAACAGAATTGGACAACCTTATTTTCATGAGTAACGGTCTTGCTATCAATTGCAAATGTTTAATTAAAGACTCTGCAAGACCATTTTGAGTGTGAACATGAGCTACAGGATGTTCCACTTTTATCCCAATTGATAAGCAATAATCATTAAATGCTTGGGATGAAAACTCAGCAGCATTATCAAGTCTAATAGACTTAATTGGATTATCGGAGAATTGCGCCTGCAATCGAATTATGTGTGCCATTAATTTTGCAAATGCAAAGTTGCGAGATGACAATAGGCACACATGAGACCATCTAGACGATGTGTCTATTAAGACCATAAAATATCTGAACGACCCACTTGGTGGGTGAATAGGTTCACAAATGTCCCCTTGTATACGTTCCAAAAACGCAGGGGACTCAAATCCAACCTTTGTTGGTGATGGTCTAATAATTAACTTGCCTTGATAACAAGAAGTGCAAGAAAATTCATCATTTAAAAGAATCTTTAAATTCTTTAATGGATGTCTATTTGAGTTTTCTATAATTCGTCTCATCATAATTGATCCAGGATGTCCCAATCGACAAAAATATTGGAATCAGTAACCTTTTGGTTTACAATAGAATGTGCCTCAATTGCACTAATTCTTGTCCAATACAGGCCACAAGATAAAGATGGGAACTTCTCAATAACCCTCTTTTGGCCAGAGACATTCTTGGTAATGATGAGATATTCAATATTATTCTCATCTATTGTCTCAATATGATACCCATTTCGACGGATATCTTTAAAATTCAACAAGTTCCTCTTGGACTTGGAGGAGAACATTGCATTCTCTATGATAAGTATTGTTCCTTTAGGCAGAGTTATAGTAGCTCTTCCAGAGCCTTCAATTAATTTACTACTACCAGAAATTGTAGTAACATCTGCCTTACACATACTTAAATGAGAGAAATATTTCTTCTCTTTGAATATTGTATGTGTCGTACATGAATCAATTAAATAAATATTTTTACAATTGAACGTTGATCCAAGTTTGCTTTGTGGAATATTCATATTTGCTTCTCATTATTTGATATACAAAAGAAATATATCGTGCAATGTGACATGTCACATAAAATGTATATCGTGTCATATTTAATTTGGTGCTCAATCAAAATAAATTACTTATAAATACTTGAGAACTGTGAAGTGCATAATTGTAAGTAAATAAATAATTTATAATGTGATATATAATCAAGAGACACATGAAATGTGCAACTGTGTATGGAAACATAAAATATATTGATCAATTGCATCATTACAATGATTTTGCTTTGCACGCATTACGACATACGTTCAATAACAGTAACATTATATGTATTCACGCAATGCTTATATGGTAATATCCAATACGACATTGATACATTAATTATAACATTATACAATGGACAAAAATAGCTAAAATATGGTGCTTTATATATAGTGAGAATGGAATTTCGTGAAAGCATAGAGTTGATGTAAGTTTCTCTACATTTTGAAATAAGAAGAGAAGAAGACTGGAGTAGTGCAAAAATTTGTTGTTAGCGTCGTTTTTATAGGCAGAGAGATAGAGCCATCGTTATGTGAGGAGCAGAGTTACAGTTAATTAGAAAAGCAGATACTCCAATACAACATTGATACCAAGTATATTATTGAGCACATGATAAGGGATTTTGGTCTTCTTAATATAAGTAGAAACATGCGAGAAAAACTAATACTATTTTATAAAATAAATGATATTAATGACTACTACTCATGTAAAGAACTATGATTACATGATGTTTATTCACTAACTATTACGAATAGGCAAAAATAAAATTTAAACTACTCAATCATCTTTAACCACGGATCCATCACCGATCAAGTGGTCTATTTTTCCATCAGGGCGCTCAAAGAAGTCTGCCACATCTAAGTGGGTAATGTCAAAATTATTGTCAGAGACAAAATTGGCTTCAGGGCCTTTATTCTTTAGAGATGATTGATAAACAAATGTCTTGGTATATGCAAGATATAATGTTATACCATTGTGGTCATGGTCAAATTATATGCAAGATATGTTTCTTGCATTAATGTTATTCTTTAATAATCACTTTACCAAAATATTTTGGCGTACAATAGGTACGTGACTAATGACCATTCATGCCATAATAATGACATTATTTTCTTATATCTCAAACCTCCTTCTAGAGGTGAGTGTGGTATATACCACTAACACGTTCATATTCTTCCAAGAATGAATATGTATTCATAAATTAGATGTTGTCGCATTCACATCATGAATGGACCATAATCATCTATATGTGCTTTACAAAATCTCATGTCAAATCGATAACAAATATTACTTTCATAAAGTGAAAGATTATTTTGAGAATCCTTCTCATTATCATAATGATGACGATTATAATTTCGTCTATTGCCACGTCCACATCCATTGATACCTTCACGATAATAATTTTGTCTTCTTTCAGACTTATCACATACTGCTATCACATTCTCTAAAGGGAATGAGAATGGAGCAAATTTAATGGGACGTGTTTTCAATTCTTTACCCACAATCATACATGAATTTAATCATGGCTAGGCATAGAAATTTTTATCACTTCACGTAGGTGTAATTTCTTACAAACTCCATTAGAGTTATAATCAAACTTTGTTGTCTTTGCTTGTATATAAAATCAAATTATAGAATTTTATGAATTTGAAAGAGAAAAGTAAAATACTTACCTTAAATCCAGAATTTTAATCATGAAGGAAGTTCATGAAACAATTGACAATTATTATGCTCAATTCCAAAGCTTCTACTCAATTGGTTAGAGTCTCGTGCTGATAACGTGTTATAAAGCAATAAAAGAACAAGAGTAATATTGCAGAGAAAGAGAGAGAAAATTCTTATTGAATTTTGGGGGTGATTTACAATGGGGTAAGACCCCTCTATTTATAGGGGAAAAACTGACTTAGCCTCAAAGTAAAACTGTCTACAAGATACACATTCACTCCAACTAGAATTGTATTCTTAACATATATATAAATATATAAATTTTAACCCTAGAAAGAAACCCATTTGTCTTCACTTCAACTGTTGCTGGGTTTGGATCGTTTCCTCCAGGACACGGGTAAACTAATTCAATATAGTATTTATTTTTGCAATTTCTATAATATTTGAAAATTTTCAGTCTTTGAACCCTAAAACGAAGGCCTGCAATTTCTATTTGTTCCTCCTCCTTTGTGTTTGTCGAAGCAAATTTTCAGCCTTTAAACTCTTAACCAACATAAATTCTGTAAAAATAATTATAAAAATCCAATCTTTGGAACACTTTTCTATTTTGGTAAATATTTTGAACTTGGGATGATACTGCTCTGCTCTAATATATTTTTGGATTCCTACTTTTTTTAAAACTATTATTTCATTCCTTATGACATTGAAGGCGAGCCTTGGAGCAACCTATAGTTTATCTCCGTGTGACCTATTGGTTATGGGTTCGAGCCGTGCAATCTACCCCTCGTGCATAAACACTCCATGCACCGGGCTGCATTGTCTGGCCTTTATGACATAGACTTACAATTTTTGACTAATCTGTAATGTTTCTGCAAAATTTAGTTACTAGTGTTTAATTAAGGTAGTGGCATGTAGTTGTTTGGTGCCGTTTCCCCCTTAATTTGCTCATATGATTGATTGATTGCTTCTGAAGTTAATTTTGGATCATAAATCTCTAACTAAATTGTGAATATCTTATCAGCTAATGCTATCATCATTCGAGTTTGATAATTGTCTTCAGCTAATATCATCACGAGGACAAGTAGTTTGGGTTCTTGGAATTAGGTGGGAAGATTTCCAAGAAATCGATGAAGTTTTGATTTTGACGGGTGAATTTGATTGATTCTTATATCTTGATGCTGCCATGAGTGTTTTATTTATTCTTTGATTAGTTGCTTTGTTTGGTGGGATTTGTTTGTTGAAGCACAAAATGTAGCTATACACTTTTGTTTCCAATTGTTGCTCTGCATTTATTCTTCTCTGTATTTTTGTTTGTTTTTGTTTTGTTGCAGCTGTGAACTTTATGAGAAGAAGTGAAATCCTGTTTACAGGTTCTCCAGCGTATCCTTCTCCTTAATCTTATATATCTCTTTAATGTAAGACTGGCAAAACTTGTATCAATATAAATAAAAAATTTATGATTAAATGTATGTGTCTATCTATCTGCAGCTAGATGGGTGAAGTTCTTCCTCTGTGTGCCTCTCCTCGTGGCTTATTCCTCTGCACTTGGACGGTGCCCTATCAGAAGTGCTGGGAGACCTTGAAGACTGATTTTATTTGTTAAGAAGTTTAGGTGGGCATGGCCATCTTCATTGGGTGGTCCACCGGATGGTGATAGTAAGTCTCTTTACCTAAAGATTGATATTATAAGGTTCAACTTAGCAGTTTATCACATACGAATAGATAGATACAAGTCTTATAGATCTGTATAAGACTTGAGGTCAGAGACCATATAGGGATGTAGTCACAACATGATTTGCAGGAATTATGTGAACGCTGATTATATGTTGGTAAAAGAACTTGGGAATGCAAAGGATATGTCATTGAGGTTCCAAATTCCAGTTTGCACGACATCGTTGACTTTTGCGAAATTCCCAACCATGTAGGATGTTTTTCCAAGTCCCCAAAATTAATGGTTGAAGCAACACTTGTGGACATGCTGTTTGGCCTGCAATAATTTTTTGATAACAATGTTAGCCCGAAAAAGCAGTAGGTTATTTAAATATTATCCAACTAGGCTGACATGTAAAGCTTGTTTTTTTTTTTCGTTTTACCATAAGCTTCTTGGAGGCCAAGGCCACCAACATTCTTATACTTCATGATAATGTCGGTATTTAAGAGGTGGATCTTTTTCCTTTTTGTATCAGTAGAACCCCAGAGGAAGTTACTTTGGGTTCTATTAATAATCTTTGTTATGCTCTTTCAGAGATGTAATGCATAACGTGACTGGGAATACTGCTAAGTGAAGATCTGGCAATTGAGGAATGCATAAGTTTGATAATGTAGACTACATTATGTAGAGTAGTGCATCAAGTTTGTGTGTGGTGCTGTTCACTCCCATTTGGTCATAGGATTTCCTTTAAAGTTCTTTTATGAAAAAGTTTCTGCAAGTATAGCTTTTCTGGTCGAACCCGCCCAAACCAACTAAGAAGAACCGAACCTGACAGACACATCTTTTTTGTTATGAATCAGCCCCAGCCCAATGTCTCACAAGTAGCTATTAGGCTGACTGCTGAGAAGAGGTTTTGGGCCGAGAACAAGTAATTGGGGCAGGTTTATTTGGGATCCACGTTGAGTATATGATGCAAGGATGGTTCTGTTAAAAGGGGACTGGTCGGTTATTTTGGGATGAGGCATATTGTTGAGAAAGGTGTCCGCTTCTCCTAGTCTCCCATTCTTCGAGTCTAATCTTCTTATCCACTTCTTCTATCTATCCCTAGTTACTTTACTTCATGCAATTTCTATTGTAATTCTGCTACTAAGTTGTTGCATTTTGATATTTGAGTTGTAATCACATTTCAGTCTTACTCTCGATTTGAGTTCATTACATTTTTCCTTTTGGGAGTACTGTGACACAGGTGTTACAGATCTATTCCTGTCTCACTTATGAAGAGTTACTTCAACGTTTCCTTGGTCATTTCTAGCGATTACCTTTCTGCAGATTTGACATTTTACAGTTGTGAAGATATTTACTAACCTTCTTGGTTAAAATTTCCGATTGTGCTTGTTCACAGCCTCTTGTGCTCGATTTTGTGTTTTTGTAACTTTCTTTATGACGTAAATAGATTTTTCTAGTGTTTTTCAGGGCCTCTCGTAATGGGCATTGAGAGATTGTGGTGGTGTTTGGGCTTCCTTCCCTACGGTTGCATGGTCACTGCCGTTCTGGATTTTGTTCATTATTCGATATCTTTCATCGTAATATTTATGGGCTATTTTTTTCATTTGGCTGTGCTATACTCTATTGTTTATTGGCATCAGTACATGCCTTTCCGGTTAATTGGTGCCAAGGCGAAATTCATGATTGAGGTCATTCCCATGATAACTGCAGCAGCCTTGCATCACCTTTTGGAGTTCAATTATGGGTATCTCGCTCTACTGCTATGCTGCACCACATATTTTTACACCGTTGCCCACTTCTTGCACTTAGCATATGATATCGGGGAAATAGACGTATTGCTGGGAATAGTTATGCAGGTTCTTGCTTACATGCTGAACGTAGGATTGTTAGCTAGAGCTTTGGCTTTGAGCTTCTGCTTTGTTTTATGTTTCTATAGATACATGACGTATTGTGCTCCTGAACTACCTGTTCATCATAAAAAGGAGTTGGAGCAGCTACCTTGTTGATCTGTATGTACTTTTTGAAAGTAATAGAGAAACTTGCAATTAATTTTTTGTCATGTGATCTTTTTTTTGTCTGTTTAATCTGATGCCCTTCCAAGGTAGAGGTCAGATTGTGTACATCCTGCCCTCCACAGACTTTACTTGTGAGATTATATGCAAGTTCTTTAATTTTTTTATTCCCCATGAAAAAATGGAATAACTAATCCCGAAATAATTAATCCCGATATAACTCTTTCCAACCAAACGACCCCTAAGGGTTTTAAGTCATTGGATACTGTATAATACAACCATTGGAAAACAGTCATCATCAAAGAAGAAGGTCAAAACTTGAAACTACAAAAGGAAAAAGAGAATTTCAATTTGTCAGGTATGTTTAAATTTCGAATCACTTTTATATATATCAATAATACGTGACATAATTTAAGAATTTAATAAATAGTAAAACATTTTTATACAATATTTTAAAAAATTTAATAAATAGTAAAACATTTTTATACAATATTTAAAAAAGGCGAGGCGAGGTATTTTACTGGATATAGCAAGGTGCAAGCCTCGAGGCATTGGGCTTGAGCCCCACGTGTTTTTACATTTTTAATATTTTTAAATTAATATAATAAAATAAATACTAAAATAAGACAAAATTACAAAGAGATTTTAAGAATTTCAAGAAATTATAAAATAAATGATACAACTACTTTATCTTAAAAAGCTAATTTGCTCAGCAATTGACTAAAAAATTAGTCCAAAATTGCTTCATACAAAAATTATCAGACTGAAAAAATTGAGTAGAAATTTATAACTAACTTAAAAGAGCAAAATAACTTAAAAATAAAGAACAAAAGAAGGAACATAAATCAGAAGCTTTGAGCCAGAGCGAATCGTGAAGATATGTTTTTATTTTGAAGTTTGCAAATTGGTAATTTTTTCTTTACGATGTAGGACATGAAGAGAAAGAATAAAATTTAAGGGGTAAGAATAAAGTATTTTTTTGTACTTTTTTTATTTTTTTAAAACTTTTAAGGATGTAATAACAAGTTGAATTTTGTGTTTTTTAGTATTGAATTAATGTCCTTTTTAGTAGTTTTAATCTTAATTTGGAAGGTTTTCTGGCTTACGCCCCAAAAGAAAAACTTGTCCAACGCCTAAGGGTACGTCCATAACAATGGAGCTTACACCTCGTGATACTTTTTCCGCATCGAATCGCACTAGTATATTTTTACTACGCCTCACCCCGGGGCTCACCTTAAAAACCTTTTTTACCACACTGTATTTACAATCAGATAGCATGTACTTTAATTTTAGAATATTGTGGTATGTCTAATTTGTATTCCAAATTATAACATTATAATGTGTTTAGTTTGAATATTATATTGTGAATGTTTGATTTGAATTCTTATTCCAAATTAGAATACCATAGTATGTTTGGTTTGAATAATATATTTTAAATTAGAATATTTTTGTATATTTTCGGAATAAATGGGAATATTTGGAGGTATATCATGTACTAATACTTTTGGGATTAATGTAATTTTAAAATTGAGGTATATCATGAAAGTAAATCTCTCGAATTGGTGTACAGACATGTCTCTCTATAACAACGTCCCTATACAATAGTCATTCATTATAAAAGCTTAGTTTTTCTCAAAATTGATATTTTATATTATACTTTATCTCTATATAATAGCTTTCTATCTATAAAGCAACAACCATCTTTGTGAGAGTACGCTCTTTTTAAAATAACTCCTCTATAACAACCATGTAGATTTTCTAAGATTATTATTAATAATAATTCTAAGTATTTTAATGAAATATTTTATAACTTTAATATAAAACTTATTATAGAAATATATATCTTAAAGATAATAGTACGCTCCATGAAAATATGCACATTATTATTATGTTTTTTTTGAAGTTATAAATGATATGTTTTTCTTTAGAAAAATACCAAAAGATACTTAAAAAATTCGGAAATGGGTCATATATGACCCTGTACTAGTCAAAATAGGTCATATGTGACATCCGTTATACTATTTGGCCATATATGACCCTCGACTAGTCAAAATAGGCCATATATGACCCTACCATCAAAGTTTCTGGCAAAAAACTAACCCTCTGCTGTTAAAATGACACGTGTCAAAATCCTATTGGCTAAACTAAACCCACTCCTTTTTTTCTTTATAATAAACGAAAATATTTGTAAAAAATTGTACAAAATTGGAAATTTTTTATAAAAACTGAGATTTTTTTTTAAATATTTCAATTTTTGAAAAACGAAAATATTATATTAAAAAACAATTTTTTTCTGTTTTTACAATTTTTTTTTTAATTTTTACAAAACAAAAATCTTTTAAAAATGAAAAAAATATTTTTCAAAAACGAAAAACACATTGTTAAACAATTTTTTTTCATGTTTTTACAAAAAAAAATAGTTTATTTTCAAAAATAAAAATATTTTCAAAATGTGTTTTTCGTTTTGAAAATAAACTGATTTTTGAGAAATATCAGTTAAAAAACGAAAAACACATTTTGAAAATATTTTTCATTTTTGAAATTAAACTATTTTTTTTGGTAAAAACAGAAAAAAAATTTTGTTTAACAATGTGTTTTTCGTTTTTTGAAAAATATTTTTTTTTCATTTTTAAAAGATTTTTCTTTTGTAAAAATTAAAAAAAATTGTAAAAACAGAAAAAAATTTGTTTTTTAATATAATATTTTCGTGTTTCAAAAATTGAAATAATAAAAAAAATCTGAGTTTTTACAAATTTATTTCCCATTTTTTACAATTTTTTATAATTTTTTACAAATATTTTCGTTTTAATATAAAGAAAAAAAGGAGTGAGTTTAGTTTAGCCAGTAGGATTTTGACACGTGTCATTTTAACAGCAGAGGGTTAGGTTTTGCCAGAAACTTTGACGGTAGGGTCATATATGTCCTATTTTGACTAGTAGAGGGTCATATATGGCCAAATAGTATAACGGATGTCACATATGACCTATTTTGACTAGTACATGGTCATATATGACCCATTTCTGTAAAAAATTTGTCTATACTTTTTGAAGATAAGCATATCATTTTTTTTGTGAAGATTCAATTGTTAAGCTCTTAGATTGCCTTCAAGGAAAAACAATTGGATATCTCGCCGATTTAAGCGTTATACCACTAGTACGAGACTGAAATCTACGAAACAAGCTACAATTATGGAGTTCTTCCATCAATCTTGAAAGATTTAATTGTGCACCTTAGAGTTTAATGTTTGTACGTTTAGTTATGATTTTTTAAAATAATTTATTAGATTTATTTATCATTTAATTCGTGAAATATTCATATCTTTTGAGATTTTGAATTTGAATATCTTTTTACCTTTATATGTAATATTAAAAAATTAATTTTTTTGATAATTTTTATCTGTAACATCCAAAGTATATTCAAACGCCAAATGTTATTATAGGTACATAACAACCATTCACTATAAAATCCAAAACTTTTCAGAACAAGCGATGTTATAGAGAGATTTGGCTATATATCATAAAACCTTTGCTTAACCTCCCATTCTTTGTGGGCCCGTTTTCCTTTACGAAGAATTAACACAAATAGTCACCCCTTAATTTTTTAACTAAAAGTAGCTGGTGGATGTATAATGGCAAAGTTCAAGCACAATGTGTATAACTGTATATAAATAATAAATAATCTATATATAACCGTTATGAAAAGTAAACTGTGAATCTGGCCGGCTATTTGTGTAATAATACCTTTCTTTATTGTGTCTTTATGATTAATTTTCTTTTTCAAAATTATTGAATATCATAAGGTAAAAAGGTATAAAATAGTTATGTAATTTGTATTTTCTTTTCTTCTCTTACTAATTTATTCCTTCAAAAACAAGTCAAATGACATAAATTAATTTTACATTTATTGTCATTATTTCTCATATTTTCAGCGCGATAACAAGCAAAGTGAATTAGAATAGTGAAATTCTTCTGCTTTGGAGTTTTTACTTCAACGTTGTATAGCCGATGTAAAAATAATAGTCGAAAAAATATATAATATTTGTATATTTTTTGTATATATATGCATTTTGTTTGTTATATACAAAAATTATACAAGTTTTATACAGTTTTTCGACTACTAATGTAAATAGTTTCTAGCGCAGGCTTAAAGTGATAATACCTCGGTGTATATTGCCCTTTCCCCTTATATATTAGAGTTCAAGTATGTCAATATGAATAAGATTACTCAAAACATAAATAAGATTATTCTTGGATTTTATATACAATTAAAAGAAGATTTCACTAAATAATGACCTCAAGAAGATTAAATGGATTATTTATATTTTATATTTTTAAATGAAAAAGAACAATTAGAACAAATCATATACAATATCATTAATAGACTTAAAATACAAATATATACTATATTATTTTAAAGTTTAGGCTTGTTAATAAAGTCTGGCTTAAGGCCACAATTTTTTTTGAGCTACCGGCCCCTAGGCTTCTTTCAAGTCGATACAATAACTTTCATAAAAATTAATTACAATAACTATCATAAATCATATAACATATGAAATGTGAACATTGGATGCCTCTTAATATATATTAGAGTTTTTTACGCGGATGATCTCTTTATAAAAATTATTCTCATAACTAATAGTACTACTCATTTATTACAAAAATGGCAATTTTTTTTTACTGATATGGCATTATCGGCAATTCCTTAAATGCCACTACAATGATAATCCCATTTAAGACCAGCACTAAGGATATTATTTTCATTAAACAGTCTTAATGTAAATAACCAATAATTATATTTCGCTGTTTTATGCCATCTTTTTCCAAAAGAAATAGTATTGTGATTTATACACTATTAAATATCATTATTATGAGACAAGAGGGGTTGCTCTAATGGTAAGCAATCCCCACTTCCAACCGAGAGGTTGTGAGTTCGAGTCTCCCCAAGAGCAAGATTGTTGTTGTTGTTGTTGTATTATGTTATGTATATTATCATATTAGAATTTTATTATAATTTATACACTATTAAATTTTATCATTATATA